CGAGTCAGGGTCGCTATGGGTCGGAACCGACTCGACGGCACTTAACAACAACAACAACATGGGGGGGGGGTTTCTGGTGTGGCACTGCGGGATAATGCGCTGGACTACAAGGTCAGTCTGAACCACAAGGTTGGTGGTTCAAGCTCACCAGTCCCTCCTTGGAAACCCTATACAGGATCACTAAAAGTCGGAACCAACTTGACAGCACATAACAGAGGAATAATGAATAAGAATAAGGAGCTCTGGTAGCGTAGTGGTTATGAATTGGGCTGCTAACCTCAAGGTTGGCAGTTCGAAACTACCAGCTGTTCTGTGGGACAAAGATGAGGCTTTCTGCTCACGTAAAGATTTGCAGCCTCGGAAACCCTGTACAGGGTCACTATGAGTCGGAACTGACTCCACAGTGCTACACAGTAACAACAACAACAAGGGAGGGGAGTTATTGCTTAAAGGACACTGAGTTACTGTTTGAGGTGATGAGAAACTTCTGGACATGCACAATGGTGATGGCTGCAAAATATGGTGACTCAATGAACTGCACATTTACAAACTGTAAAAATGCAATGTTTCGTTAAATATTTTACCACAAATAAAAATTTTAATTTGTGGTGTGTTCATATTAACTAACATTCATACTGGACACTCACTTCCATTATGCTTATCTTCTTAATATCTCAATTATGATTCTTAAACAGTACTTACCAACTGAAGATAGAAATCAGTAGGACTATTTATGTGACAAACCATAACTGATATATCTGTCATTTCTTCAGGCAAAACTGGTGGATTATAGACTAAAATTGTACATTTTTCAGCGTGACTTCTTGGTGATTGTGACCTAAATCTAATTAAAAGTATAATTAAAGCATAAGCAAGAGCCATTGTTTTCTTTTTACTGTGAACTAAGTAAAAGTTTACAGAGCAGATAATCAATTTACATTCAATGAATCATTTCCTTTCATATCATGGTTGCAATCCCATCAATGTGACACCACTTTTGTCCCTCTTCCTCCCTGAGTTTATTTCCATTCCTTCTTCTTTCCAAACCCTTCTGAGCTTTGTCCTTGGGTAAGTGCTGCCCATCTGATCTCGGAGAGCTGACCTCTATGGTATACTTACCACCTCACTAGTGTTGTTGTCCCTCCCTATAGACCTACCGATTGCTTGGCTGAAAAGTGAGCCCCCCAAGGATGAGTTTGGTTCCAGACCTGAGGGGTAAGCTAGAGTCACAGTCTCGGGGTGCTACCAGTCAGAGCCATTTTCTTAGTCTTTCTTTTCTCTGAACTGACCTCAAGTAAGGACTTGCCTATAGACTTCCTTTCTAATTTCTCTCCTCTAACTTATATATGTCTTCAATTAATTATATTCAGTTATCAAACCAGATTAAATAAGATGTCAGGTCTCACAACTCATTAATAAATCTTCAAGTTTGTGTAAAATTATAAAGCAGTCTAGATGTTATTATATTAATTATAAAGCATACTTAGATTCACAGCTGTTTCTACTCTAACTTTCAGTTGAATTTGATATAGTCTTGCTGTAAATTCAGCTCTGACCATCAGTGACAGCTCTGACCATCAGTAACCCTGTAAGTTGGAGCAGAGCTACCCTCAGGATTTCTGTCATCTTTAAGGAAGCACACTGCCACATCTTTCTCCTGGCAGATCAGCTGGTGGGTTTGAAACAGCAACCTTCTGGTTAGTAGTTAAGTGCTTACTACTACATAGCCATGGTCTATGGTAGTAGCATCTGTAAGTCCCTTCCAACTCCAAGATTCTCTATTTCTCTAAAATAGAACCTACCTAGGTATTTTCCAGGACAGAGCATCAGGGTCTTCCATTATGTCATGCAAACCAATTAGCTGGGTTACTTAGTCACCATTCTTTGCTGAGGGGTGGTGATTTATAACTGTCTAGATTACTACTTTAGACAGTTAGAATGGTAATCATGAATTCATGTATCAATGGCAGCAATTTAAATCAGAAATGGTTAAACTGTAATTCTGGAAATCCTATTACAGTTGCTTGTGAAATTACCAAGAGCCCCAAAATATCTACAAATCCTTTCTAATTTATCTAATTTCTTGAATCAAATTATTTGGATGTAGTGCTCACAGGCAAAACCTGCACTTGTTTGTTGTTGTTGCTAAGTGCAGTCAAGTCGGTTCTGATACACAGCGATCCTGTAATAGGGTTTCCAAGGAGCGGCTAGAGGGTTTGAACTGCCAATCTGACAGTTTAAATCGACCTTAGGGTTGGGGGCTTATCCTACAGCATCACACCAGGACTCCAAACCTGTAATCGTAGTATTTTAACCTCTTAAGACAATAGTTTTCAAGACAAAATATTCTATTCTAATTTATAGCAATATTCTCAAGGAATATCTAAGTTTTAAAAAGTTACATACCTTGCTAGTTCCATAAAAACTAATGCATCTCTAAGAGACACCGGCATATCACTACTTATTTTATTTGTTGGTGGTTTCTGTAGATCTACAATGAGCATATCATCTTCTTCTTTAAAAACTTTCATTAAAACAGCTTTGTTATTTACCATTTTCAAAAATTCCACTTTAGCTTCCTTTCCCCAGCCTTTATTCTATTGAAAAAAGTAAAATTAAAAAGTATTTCATAATTACAAATTAGCTCTAATGTCCTAATACCCTAGATTTTTAGCTTTATATACCACCCAGTCTGAAACTTTGAGCACAGACAATGAACCAACCACAGATTCTCAAGGTTTCCACAAGCAGTTTCACTTTAGAATTTAGTTTCACTTTAGAACATAATGATTACCAAAGAACAATTCAAAATAAAAAGGACAAGTATTGCACATATATTCCATTTAAGGATACACACTTAAAAGGTAATTTTTTAAGTCATAAAATATAAAGATATATACAGTCAGCAGACGTTTATCTAGCTTCTATTACTAGCAGTAGATGTATATTCAGTATGAGGAGCTTTCAAAAGTCCTTTGGAAACTCCATTATTTATCAATTCCGCTTAAACTTTTTGAAGTCTCCTCAGATATGCTACTTTAACAATGAGGAAACAAATTCATCTGTTTAAAGAATAATTTTAAACATTAATCCTGTTAAAAGTTAAACACTTAAGTACCTATGACCAAGGTAAATTTCAAGATTAACTACATTTAACAACAGCAAGAATCTCATTAGGGTCCTTTCCAAAAAAAGGTCCAATCAAAACACGCTTATGAGTGGATCTTCTGGGCTGATTTAATTCCAGGCAGAAAGGTCAACTCAGAAGGTCATGGCAACTGTCTTTGGGCATTCCAAAGGGGTCATTCTTGATAAGAGTTTCTCAAAGGACCCAGGATGGTCACAGGGGCTAACTCTGAACACGTGTTCAGAAAACTGAAAACTGCACTGGTGAGGAATAGGTCAGGAAAATTGCACTGAAGAATTTTTGCCAACACAATACATCAACTAAGTCTCCCAAGGTAGCAAAGGCTGTTCTAGGAAAATGTTGTAGGGGAAATCATACCTGCACTCTACAGCCCTGATCCTGCCCCTTCAGTCTTCTTCTGTTCCCCAAACTCAAAGACCACTTAAAACGAACACAATTTGTGCCTCAAGAATGCCAAAACTTCTGTTTGCTGTGATATAAATCAAATAGCTCAGTATTTTTCAAGGAAGGGTTAACATCATACAGGGTTCCTGAGGCTGTACATCTTTGGGGGCCAGAAAGCCTCATCTTTCTCCTGCAAAGTGGCTGGTGACTTTGAACTCCTGTGCAGATCATATGGAACCACTGCGCTTCCCTCAGGGAGGGTTGGAGAGATGCAAATACCACCTTCAAGAGAGTTTAAACCTGGCGGCCAGGGGGCGGGCCTGGGTGGTGCACCTTTTGGCTATTTGATGATGCATGGAGGGGACTGTAACCATTGTAATGAAATGTGATAGGACAAGTGTAAAGCTCATGTTCTCCCATGTAAACCTCACAATAAAAACTTAAAAAAAAAAAAGGAGTATAAAACCTAGATGGAGAATAGGTCAAAAAACTATAGTTTCACAACTAAAAACTGTAGCTTCACAACTAGATATTTTAGTTTACTAAAGTTTTTTCCATGATTTTGTAACTCTTTTTGACTTAATCTCATTTATAGAGACATGTATCACACCATATATTAAATTTGTTTCTCCACGTGTATCTGACTCTAAAATTTAGTGGTTTACTTCGATATGTAACCTACCAATTATGCTGATATTTGCTTATTCAATTCCAATCATGGAAGTTAACACTCACTTCCTTTTTTATTGGCAGCAATGCCATGTTATGTAAAATGCACTTTCAGAATTAGTGCTTTGAGCATAAACTCAGTCATGTGATTTGTCACACACACAGTGAAAATCCTCCCAAGAGAAAGTAATGAACTGGTACTTACTGAATGTGGTGGAACAATGTCTTTCAGTGAGCATGACTGGGCAAATGGCTGGATATCATTGAGCAGTCCTTCAGTACAGGATGCAGGCTTCCTTAGTACCAAACTTAAATCACTCAGTACTATATGCTGCTCAGCAAAGTGTTCTGGCCTCACATGGGAATCATGAACTCTAGGAGAAATTCAGATACTATTTGGTGAAAATAATGCTTCAAATCTGAACTCGCTTTCCCCATAAAACGTATACATTTCTAAAGACACTTTCCTTAGATATTCTAGAAAGCCGTATTCTAATTCATAATACTTCTTTACTGGTGCTATTGTCAGCTGCCACTGAGTCAAATGACTCCTGGTGACTTCGTGTGTTAACAGAGCAAAACTGCTCCACAGGGTTTGGTTGGCTATATCGTCACAGAGCAAACCACCAACGCTTTTCTTCAGCGGTACCTCTGGATGGTTTATAACCACCAACCTCTAGGTTAGAAGTCAAGCGCAAACCATTTTTGTCACTTAGAGACCTATACAAATTATGTCTAGCTTCAATTAGCACAAATGTTGTTATCCATAGAATTCAGTATTAGCTACCTTTATCTGAACTTTCATCTACTTATTCAGTTTAAACTCAAAGGAAATGATGACCCCCAAAACATAGATGTATTTATTCTAGAAAATATACATTTATTTTAAAACCACTAAAAAAAAGTTAATGCTGGTCCTTATTACAGAAACATTTTTGGCTGGTTTTATTCTCAGAAAAAATTGAAAGAAACATTTTTTTAATACTTAGAGTAAACAAGATACTATGTCACTTGGTGGTCGTGGTGGTGGTTATATGCTGTGGAGTCGGTTCCGACCCATAGCGACCCTGTACAGAGTTTCCGAGGCTGTACATCTTTACAGGAGCAGAAAGCCTCATCTTTCACCTGTGGAATGTCTGGTAGTTTCGAACTGCTGACCTTGAGGTTAGCAGCCAGACTCGTAACCACTATGCTACCAGAGCTCCTTCTATGCCACTTAAGCATATGTTACTATAATTATAGAACTCCATTTAAAAATCAACTTTAAAATCCTGCAGCTAACTATTAACACCTTATTTCAAAGAAGTTTTTTTTGTATATTATTCCTACTTCAAGCAATGTAACAAGAGCACTTAAATCTGAAGTACATTTTTAAAAGCTCCTTTTCTAAGCTCATCTATTAACAATGATAGATAATATTTTATTAAGGGATACAAATATAGAAAAAAATGATAAAATGTATGTGTCTTGAAAGCGAAGAATAAACAAATTACTGCTTTACCCATTCCTAATTTTTGTCTTTAAACTTCCTTACTCATGCTTCTAGGCAGACTAAGAACACATAGTAATTATAAAATATCATACCCTGGAACAATTAAGACTTCAGAATTTCCAAAATCTATCATAAATATTTGTATTAGTGCAACTTCACAGACTGAGTACTTGGTTGGACTACCAGATTTTCTAATATCTTTACTTTTTATTGGAATTAATTCAGTGATAGTTCCTCGACACCACATTCCATTTTCAATACTGTTGATATATATTCTTGCACCTAAATAGTGAGAAAACCATAATCACTGTTTAAGAAGAGAAATACCTAATTAAGTGCTAATTTACAAACATGCACATTTACCACAACCCAACAACCCACTGCCATGGAGTCGATTCTGACTCATAGCGACCCACAGGGCAGAGCAGAATTGCTCCATAAGGTTTCCCAGGCTGTAAATCTTTACAGAAGCAGACTGCCACATCTTTCTTGCATTCAGGAGCTGGTGAATTCAACCCACCAAGCTTTTGATTAGCAGCCAAGTGTTTAAACCACCACATCAAGGAGGCTTCTTTTTAAGAAGTCTTAATTTCTTTTTTGACACAGTATTATGTCAAGTAATGGAAGAATATTTTCATGCTTAGCTAATCTACCCAAATAAAATATTTTGGTATGTTTTGCTATACAGAAACTTATGAGATAAACAAGAAGATCAAAACACAAAAGGTACTAAGTCAGCAGTCACCTATGAAGGATCAGTATTTGATGAAAGATGAATGACACTGCCCTGCAATTAAAAAGCTCAAGAAAAGCAGAGTGACAGATGAATTAATTGCTACACTATATTTGCTACAATAAAGACTAGCTCTATCCTCATGCATACAAACACACACATATGGTGGTGGATGTTATGTGCCAAGGAGTCGGTTCTGACTCATAGCGACCCTCCACAGGTTTTGAGGGTGAAAATCTGTAAGGGAACAGAAAGCCTCATCTTTCTCCCACAGAACAGCTGGTAGAGTCTAACTGCTGACCCTGAGGTTAGCAGCCCAATTTGTAACTATAACGCTACCAAAGCTCCTTAATACACACATATGCTGCTGTTGTTGTTGTTGTTATGTGCCGTGGAGTCGGTTCTGACCCATAGCGATCCTACCCTGCACAGGGTTTCTGAGGCTGTAAATTTCTACAGGAGCAGAACGCCTCATCTTTCTCCCACGGAGCAGCTGGTAGTTTTGAACTGCTTACCTTGTGGTTCGCAGCCTGATTCGTAACCACTACGCTACCAGAGATCACCTTAATACACAATACACACATATAGATACACAAAATTACACTTGTAAATTACTGTAGTAGCATAAAGGAAGATAAAAATGTGTGGGTGAAACAAACAAGAAAAACAGCATGTGAAATACCAAAATCAACTAGCTAATCCATACTAGACTTTAGAGAAGGGAAGACGTACTGAGGACTTGGCAATGAGAGGCCTTTTGGATGGATTACATAAAATGATGGGTTAAAAATAACCAGGAAAAAAAAAAAGAAAGAACAGGCAAGCAAGATGTCTGAATGTCAAGAAAACAATTCAGGAAAGCAGTGGCTGAAACCCCTGGAACAGTAATCTAGGGGTAGATACAAGGCTGGGTTCATGGACTGAATGAGTGTGTAGAGACAGTGGGAATACAATCACAAATATACACCTAGGTCTGACAGGAGTATTTAGACATTTAGACATGGACATTTACCTTCACTACAAACATATCCATGAATGTGGTGGAGCATGTTGTTAGATGCTGTTGAGTCGATTCCGACTCATAGCGACTTTGTATAGCATTTCTGAAGCTGTAAATCTTTACAGGAGCAGAAAGTCTCATCTTTCTCCCACATGGTAGATGAAGCATACAGACAGCAAAACCACGTTAACTTCTTAGGCATTACCAAACACCTTACAGGACTGATTTGTTGTGCCTAAGGGCTCAGAACCATAGTCTAAGGGAACATCCAGTTCAACTGACTTAACAGTCTACAAAGACAATGTTCTAGCTCCTACTTTGGTGAGTAGCAACTGGGATCATAAAAGCTCATAAACAGACATCTAAGGTTCAACTATTGATCTCTCCCTGTCTGCAGGAAAAAACAGTGACGAACATGGATTAATGAACAACATGAACATGAATCTCCACAACCCTGAGTCAGCAGAACTAGTTGGTGCCCTGTTACCACTACAAACTGCTCTGAAAGGGGTGACACCCTGGATTGAGTGGGAGAAAATGTGGAATACTCAAAAGCATTAAAATGATCAGTCTTACTGGTCAGATTGAGACTGGTGGAACCCTGAGACTACAGCCATCAGTCATCCTTCAGGTCTGGAAGTGAACTTACCCAGGGCTCAATTTTCACTAGTGAGGTATGCACACCACAGAATGGTCAACCATTGGAGAATAAAAGGGCAGAGTTTACTTACGGACAAAATTCAGAAAGGTGGAGAGAGAAGGAAGAACGGAAAAAAGAAGCACAGGGAGGAAACGGGATAAGTCAAGTTACATAAAAGGGATTGCAATCATTGAGCTGAAATGCTGTGCATGACTTGTTGAATGGAAACCTAACGGTACATTCTGTTAATCAATTCACAGTAAAAAGTTAAAAAAAAGAGGTTGAAATTCTCGTTCAAACCATGTAGCATAATTTCAAGAGCTACAAAGTTACCTAGCTTAGAGCCCATACTCTTAACAATGAAGCTGTGCACTGGAGATAACTAACTGTGTGGTAAGATCTGCTCTCTGTTGATACACAGAGGGATGCAGTATGTACGCCTCTGCAGGTACAAGCACAAACAGCTGAGTTGAAAGGCCTTATTTAGGTGTCCGATGCCACTCTCACATGTGGAGAGCAAGAAACTGATTGCAAACTATGAGGGCACAGGTTTCTCTGGAGACAAGGGGACAGTCTAGATAAGCTATCATTAGTTTAATAATTTATAAAACAATTCACTTTACTCCATAATGAGATTATGCAACATAGCTAACTCTAAAAATGTGCTAATGGTTAATTTTAACCCTTAATCAACTTACCAAAATAAAATTTATGTTAAATTTAACACTTTCACACTTGGAGCAAATAGCTATATTATTAAGTCTATATGGGTTGGTCAAACATAATAATGTTTAAATAAAATTGATGTTTTAACTTGGAGTAGTATTTCATTACCTAGTTCTAAAATATCTGAAGGACTGAGATGTAAACTCTTGTTGCAAATTTGATTCACCTTCTTTTCCAATAATGTTGCATCTTTTATTTGTGAATACTTCCGAACATAGAAGTGGCAAGGATGTATTACATGACTTACCAAAACTAGTTCTGGGGAGCCTATATAAGAAAAAGTATTTAAACCACATTAATAAACCATGAGTTAGAAAAGAATCTACAAATGCTGAACAAATACAATATCCTATAAAAGAAAAATATCTTATGGTATTACAAACTCTAAAATACTGAGACTCCATAGAACAGTCCAAACAATGGTACCCAAACTATAATACAAATGGATCACTTTCAACAATTAATTCTTTAGCAACATAAACTGCAAACAGGTTACTTGCAAAATATGTAAGTACAATTGTAGTTCATGTGTAGGTAACATAATGGCATAGTATATGTTGCAACCCAACAAAATTTCAGAGTTTACCTGGAACTCAGAACCCCATTTCTAATGATTAGGTTTCTAGTACAGCTCACAAAATCCTGTCTATAGTATTTCTCCAGAACCTATAAATAGTTCATCATGTTAGAGAGGGATGAAAACTGTCTGGGGAAAGCCAAAGTATTAAGAAGCATATAGAGGAAAGTTGTGTGTTCGAGTAGGAGGTGAAAGTGGAGCAAAAGCAGTGAGATAATTTTATGCATGCAGGAGTTAGTTGAGGCATGACTGCAAGATTGGTTTGAAGTGCAAGGTCGAAGGTTCAAACTTGGACCTTGGAAATCCTATCCAGGATTGCTATGAGTCAGGAATGACTCAAAGGCACTAAACAACATTGATGCAAAAAGATCTCCTAAGTACAAAATTAAGCCAAAAAAATAACATTGTTACTAGGGTTGAAGTTCATACATGCCCAACTTTATTGAAACAAAACAACTTTAAACGTGTCTCTGCAATCAATGGATGGCTGCACCCAAGTTCTCCCAGTAATACATTTGTCTTAATCTCGCTAAGGTGGCTTCCAAAAAACAGGTCCAACAAAACAGTAACTTCTGAGAGGATATGCTGAACCAGTTCAATTCAAGGTACAGAGGTCACCTCAGAAGGGAATGATGACTGTTTTTTGGCATTCCAAAGGAGTAATCTTGATAGATTTTCACAAAAAAACTGAGGGCAATCATAGGGGCTTATTACTAAGTTTTCAGAAAACTGAACTGGTGAGAAAAACGTCATGAAAGTTGCATCAAGTAATTTTGTTGTTGTTGTTTAAATCATGAAACTGCACCTGCTCATTCTCTGATGGTGCTATGGGCTGTCCAAAGATAATTTCAATGGAAAACTTTACCCCATCCACCCTCTATCCCTGGTCTGGCCCCTTCAAACTTCTTTTATGTTCCGCAAACTCAAGGATGCTAAAACTGCTGTTTGTCAAGGTGTAATTAAAGAGACTACAACTCTTTGGGGAAGTGTTAGAGAATTAAAATCATTGTCTTCAGAAGTGTCTAGACTACGATGATGATGTTAAAAAACAATAGCTTCACATTTAGATATATATATACTTTTTAATAAAAGTTGGCCATGATTTTGTAGCAATGTGGATGGCATGGTATGCTTTATGTAAAAAACAATCTACGTCTATCTATATTATGCTTATTCAGCATAAAGAAAGCCTAGAAGGGCAGGAAGGACTAAACAGAGTGCCAACAGTTGACTGGATATAACGGAAGGCAAGGTTTCACAGGGTGGTTTACTATGTACACACACATATATATTTGAACAACGCAAATGCTCTGTGATTAGTTTTTGAAAGTGTGCAAAGACGAGGAGAAATGCAATTGGAGAGAGCAAGCAAAGATGGTGGTAGTGATACGCTGTGGAGTCAGTACCAACTCAAGACCCTGTACAGGGTTTCAGAGTCTATACTATCTTTACAGTCGCTGAGGGCTTCATCTTTCCCGCAAGCAGTGACTGGTAGATTCGAATTACTGACCTTGCTAGCAAGCATAGAAAGACAACAGAAACTAAACAGACTATTTTAACCTTTCAGACCAATAAAGATTAAAAAGAATAATATCCATATTCTTGATAGAGCTAAAAAGATAAATTATGTGGAACTAGGGAGACAGGTAAGAGACATGCTGCTATACATTTTAGACACACTTTTGCTAAATACAGTTAAGGTTTTAATATTACAAAGGAAGAAATACTAGTTATCAATGAAATCCATTTTACACATTGCTTTATCCTAGATAAGAATTACTATATACACAGCAAACTCCACTATTTAAGTAGCAAAAGTACCTGCTTTTGATCCAAAAGAAACAGACGTCTTTTTCTGAAGAGGCTGTTTTTGATTTCTAGGTGTTTCCATAAAATAATCTGTAAAATATGCTTCATCAAAATAAGAAATAAAGGCAATTGTACTAATTTTGTTAATGCTGACAATGGTATACTTTTGTTCAAAAAGCTGTACCTCAAATGGCAAAATTCTAGAATGGAAAGATACTTGTGTTACATAATAAAATCTTAAATTATTGTAATTCACAGAGATATCAGTGATAATATAGTGGAAATGAGAAAACAACATACATACATATTTTTGTAGCTAAAATGTCATTCTGAACCAAAAAAACCCCCACAAAACTGAGGAGAAAAAATTAAAACCCATCTTGACAATGATCCTAAAGACGACTAACCCACTGCCATCAAGTTGATTCCGACTCATGGCAATCCTGTATAGGATTTCGGAAGCTGCAAATCTTTACAGGAGCAGAAAGCCTCATCTTTCTGCCTGGGAGCAGCTGGTAGTAGATTTGAACTGCTGACCTTGTGGTTAGCAGGACTCCTTTACAGAAGATTGGTGGTGGTGGTGGTGTGCCAGGGAGTCAGTTCCAACTCATAGCGACCCTGCATAGAGTTTCCAAGGCTGCAAATCTTTATAGGACAGGAAGCCTCATTTTTCTCCCATGGAATAGCTGGTAGTTTCGAATTACTGACCTTGAGGTTAGCAGTCTGACTCGTAACCACTATGCTACCAGAGCTCCTTTAAAGAAGATTAATGGTATAAAATTTTGTATGTATAGCAGTATCTCACTACAATGTTACTGGGAAAATACCAACACTGCAAATGTTATCAAGTACCTGATACATTTCAATGTTATAAACAGATGATATTATGTATAATTGTTCATTTCATAGCAGATCAAATCTCAGAAAAAGACTTGTTAGTCTTAAATTCAATGACAAAGTAATAAAACTTTCACAAATCACATCTCTCATTTATTTATATATGCATCTTTTATATAAGGTTTATAGTATGTAGAACATTTAAAAGTCAAATACCTTAATTAAACCAAATGTTAAACTTACACCTCTGAGGTTAGCTATATAGCAGAACTAAAAATAAAACTATCATTAACTTTGAAAAATGTGACTGTAAGGGTAAGGAATCAACAGGATTTAATTAATAACAAGGTAAAAGACTATAACACAGCAATATATTTCTGGTAAGCACAGGAAAAAACCAGTACAAATTGTTTCCAGTTACAGACACAAGGTTTGGCTTATTTGGTTTTTGGTTGCTTTTATATTTTCACTCACTTTCCAGGTTCTCTTCAATAATTTCTTCAATGATCACGTCAGGACTAGATCCCGTTTGTGGCAGAGCAGCAATGGCTTTGGCAACAACTTCTTTCTTTGGATGGCAGTCCTTTGTTTCTAAGCCCACGTCACTGGCTCCACATTGCAAAGGTGCCGATGGTGCTTCATTACTCAGCACAGAGAGCTCAGACTTGTTCTCCTCTAGTGACAAGTAGGCATCCAAACAAGAAAATTCCTTTTTATTAGTATACTTCTTTTGCACATTCTGTCCAATTTTATTTTCTTGGGGAGAAAATCTGTTTAAAAATATAGGAGCATATTTAGGATTTTTTCACATGACCTTTTAAAATCACTTTATAAATTCTTTATATTCACCTTCAGGCCAGTTCCATACTGCATTACAGTTAATGCTGTGACACATATAAAAGGGATAAAAAGCGGTCCCAGCGCCCCAGGGATATTTTTTAACTGCTTTATAATTTAATATAGCAACATTCAATACTTTTTACTACATTTACAGAGTTGTGCAGCCATTATCACAATCTAATTTTAGAAATCTTTCCATCACCCAAAAAGGAATTTCTGCTTTTCCTAGCCACAAGCAGGTCCCAGGGTTTTGTTTTGTTTTTTTTATAAAAAAAAAAACACAAAACAACCTAAGACAGAGCCATTGCCATGCTGCAATGAGTTTCGATGACGGGTAAGACTGAGGAATTCGCACTGACCGCCTAAGACAGGCAGCATCCCTTAAACAAATAATAAATAAGGAAGAATCTGATGCAGACCGTGCAGACCCGGTCAGGAGTTCAAGTCCCTGTGGGCCCAAGCGTTGCTGACCGTCCAAACCATAGGCTCTGAGGATCAGACTTTAGCCACCTAGCAGACGTAGCAAAATGTCCCTTATCTGATTATTCAGATACGCTGGTTAGTAATTCCATACATGAGCCCTGGATACCCACAGATAAATGTAAAACCCTTCCCTAAAAGCCGAGACTGTAAATTCCAAAAAGGGAAAGTTTTTCCCCCAAAAAAAAGCTAAAGAGGATAGAGAGAAACTCTGTTAACTGATGGTATGTGGAGGGGATTATAATCAATGTAATGAAACAAGGTATATGAATGTTTGAATGTGAAACCGATGATGTCCCCTGAAAACTTTCACTCAATCCACAATAAAAACCTTAAAAAAAAAAAAACACAAAATAGGAATTTAATCAGTGAAAAGTTGAAGAAAACAGTCGATCACAACAATCTGATCCTTAGAATAGTGGATAATAACAGTTTTCAAAAGGAGTCATTTTGATTTGGTTTAGGTATTTGACATTAAATTGTTTAAACTATATTGTTTCTTCTTTAATTCGGTCATGGGTACAATCCTGAATAAATCACTAGAAACCTCCATGTACGCTAATAACACTCATTAATCGAATGTGTTGAGTATCATTATTCACGAGCCCTTAGCCCAGTGATTATTCACTCTACTCCAATTTTCTCTATCTTCTCCACATATCCAGACAGATCTAAGTCATCAAATTTACAAACAAGCATAGACACCCTAAGAAACAAATGAGGTAAAGGCTCATAAAACTTACGATTTGTAGCTAACCTATGATGAATTTATCTTCTTCACAGACCAGTTTAGTATACGATTTAAAAAATACCCAACAAAGTGAATGACACATACTCTCCTGTCTTTTCTAGCAGTCAGATATTTATTAACATAAGAAACATTAATATATGTTGAATACAGGCTCAAACACCTTTTGAGACACACATTGATATACAAACTTGCAAACAAAACATCTTTTCATAACTTCTCTTAATTAACACTGTTGTTGCTATTGTTAAATACCATAATGTCATTTCCTACACACAGTAATCTTGTATAGGGTTTTCAAGGAGAGGTTGGTGGGTTTGAACTACTGACCTTGCAGTTCAAACCAACCTTGTTATCAGTGCATTATCTTGCAGCACCACACCAGGACTCCTATGTAACCTTGCTGAGACATCTAACACTGCTATCCAAGTTCAGTCTTACCAATCTCTGTTTTGACGTCTAGAACACCATGCTCCTGTTTCTCCTTCAACCGATCTGCTCCTTCTCTCTTCTGTGTTGTTTTGGTTACCCACTCCCTGACATAAATTTAAATCTTTTCCAGATTATTTTCTTTGACCTACTTCAATATCTGCACTGCCCAGCAATCCCCTGGTTTAACTACCATTTGTTGTCTGTTAACTTCAAGACTGGCTGTTGGAACACAGCCCCAGGTACATGGGAGAAAAGGCCTGGTAACCTGCTTCCATTAAAACCAGAGCCAGGGAAAGAAAGCCTCCGCTGGAGCTCGACTTGGTACAATGCCCTCAGCTTGAGGGCAACTAACAATCAGGAGAGACATTTTCCTTAATAACTAGGAAAAAAACGAAGACTGACATCAAACTTAAAGTCAATACAGTTTCTTAAAAACGAGTAACTTTTGGTCTTAAAATATTTGAGAATATCCACATTTAAGTTAGAAAAATCTAAAAGAATCCATTAATTGGACAGACTGCTAATTATCCATGGAAGCACAAACAGGACAAAGAATCACAGAGGCCTTAAAGATGAGGCTGTGCTCATCCAGGCACTGTCTTGGGAAAGATGACTGGAGCCAAAGGGCTAGCGCTGCAGTTCTCTGACAAGGTCTTCCTTGTGGTGGAGAGAAGCCATGACAGGCTAGCTCAGCCTAATGCAGATAAGCTATTTCATTCTTCTTGGATCAACTATCAATACCCATGGAAGCAGCAGTCAAGAAATCAAACAACATATTGCATTGGGCAATTCTGCTACACAAGACCTTTGTAATGTGTTGAAGAGCAAAGATGTCAGCTTGAAGACTAAAGTGTACCTACCCAAACCATATTATTTTCAATAACCTCATATGCATGTGAAAGCTGGACAGTCAATAAGGAAGACCGTAGAAAAATTGATGCTTTTGAGTTACAGTGTTGGAGAATATTGAAAGCGCCATATAACTATAACTCAAAAGAACCAATAGATCTGTTTTGGAAGAAGTGCAGCCAGAGTGCTCCTTGGAGGCCAGGATGGCCAATCTTTGTCTCTCATACTTCAGACATATTGTCAGGCGAGACAGTCGCTGGAGAATGATACCATGTATGGTAAGGTGGAGGGTCAGAGAAAAAGAGAAGACCCCCAGCGAGATGGACTGGCAAAGTGGCAGCATCAATGGGCTCAAGCATGGCAACAATTGTGAAGTTGGCCCAGGATCGGGCAGTTTTTCATTCTGCTGTGCATAAGGTCGCTATGAGTCGGTACCAACTCGAAAGCACCTAACAACAACAAAAACAACAACAGGGTTGTTGTTCAATACAACCTTCTGTGCAGGTGGGAATGTGCTGCACTATCCTCTGTGGTAGGCATTATTCACACTTGACTACTGAGCACTTGAAATGTGGCTAGTGTGACCAAGAAACTGAACTTTTAGTTTTATTTAGGTTCATATTCAATTTATACTTAATATGGTTGTTGTTGTTAAGTGCCAATGAGTCAGATCCAATTCATAGTGACCCTGTATAGGGTTTCCTAGGAGAAGCTGGTGGGCTTGAACAGCTGACCTTGCAGTTCAAACAGACTTTGTGGTCCAGTGCTTATCCTACAGCGCCACATCAGGACTCCACTTAATATGGTCAGCACCTACCATATTGGACAGCACTGGTCTAGAAAATACAGTTCAAACTCTCCTACAAAGTATACAAAGTCGAGTCTACCACATGCTATCATACATCCAGTTCACTGAATGTAGCACGCTATAGTCATAATTTGTCTGTTTTAAAATATCTTCCCTCCCTTTCGTTTTCCTTTCTTAGTGCTATTTCTTTTCCAAGGAGAAGGAAATATAAAATCTATTCTATAAAGATTTTTCTCAACCTATTATCATATATAGGAACTCTGGTAGCGTAGTAGTTACAAATTGGGCTGTGAACCGCAAGGTCAGCAATTCTAAACTACCAGCTGTTCTGTGGGAGAAAGATGAGGCTTTCTGCTACCGTAAAGATTTAGTTTTGAAAATCCTGTACATGGTCACTATGAGTCGGAACCAACTCCACGGCACTTAACAACAACAACAACATGATCATATACAGCACAGTGGTTCTGTATAAGTACTGGTCTGCAAACCAGAAGGTCCATAGTTTGAGCCCACCAGCTGCTCCTTGAAAGAAAGACAAGGCTTTCTGCTCTTGTAAAAATATATAGCCTTAGAATCTCTATATAAATGGTGGTTATGAGTCAGAACTAACTCAAAGGCATATAACGGCACATAGCAACAACAACTACTGATTTCCCCAAGAAGTAACCATTCCCTCCCTTTGCACCTTCACTCACTTCTGCACATACCACTCTCACAGCAATTATGCACTTGACTGTTCAGGTCTGTCCTTTCTCTACATGTCTGAACTTCTCTGACACATATCACACCACTTAGGGCATTAGTTGGTGGTGGTGTTGTTATGTGCTGTCAAGTTGGTTCTGACTCATAGCAACCCTGTATAGGGTTCCAAGGAGCGGCTGGTGAGTTTGAACCACCGACCTTGCAGTTCAGTGCATTAACCCACAGTGCCACAGCTGGGCTCCACAGTATTAGTACTTAGTAAAAATCAGCAAAATATTGACAAATATATCATTAAATACTGATCCTTTCTAGTTATGTTAAATCTATTACGTGACAAATTTAACTGACATAAACTATTTTTCAGCTTTTGAATCATTGCTGCTTAAGTGCCACGGAGCAGGCTCCAATTCACAGCAACTCTGTATAGGGTTTCCGATGAGCAGCTGGTAGGTCTGAAGCACCAACTTTGTGGTTCACAGTCCAGTACTGATCCTACAGGATCACACCACAAGTCCTACTACACTAAAAATCCATCTTCCTGTCTACTAGGTAACTTAGGCCCTGTCAGATATGACTTGTTGTCATTCTTATACTTACTTTGTTGAGTCCTCAAATTCAATCTTTCCAATTTTGTTGAACATACAGATGATCTCACTACAATTCAGATTCAACCTAAAATAAAACATCAACATACAAGTAACTGCTCTAACTTCATTACTTCTTCTAAATAAAAATGAGTTGCTGACATTAAAATAACTCTAAAAGAAAATGAAAAACATTTAAATAGCTTTCTAATTTAACATAGATTCTACTTACTTTAAATGGTTGGTTGCTAACTTGGGCATTTGTTACTACTCAAACTTTTGATATTTACTTGCTTGCTATTTTAATATATTTAGGCCCTAATACATTTTTATGGAGCTCTGGTAGCGTAGTAATTACAAATCGGGCTGTGAACCTCAGGGTCAGCAGTTTGAAACTACCAGCTATTCTTCCACAGAAGAAAGATGAGGTTTTCTGCTCCCGTAAAGATTTACAGCCTCAGAAATCCTGTACAGGATTGCTATGAGTCTGAACCGACTCCATGGCACATAACAACAACTATACATTTTTACCCATAATTGTTATAGCTCCCTGAGAAATAACTCACCTGGAAGAGGGCCGTTGCTTTAGAGAACTCACTTCTGAGAACTCACTTTCATATGTTAACTTCAAAGTTCGGATAATCTAGAATTAACAATGTCATTCATGTGTGAATTTTCCATTGTCACAAATATTTCAGAAATAATAACATTTTAGAAGGGACATTATAAACCTTTGTTGTTGTTGTTGCTAAGTGCCGTCGAGTCAGTTCCGACCCACAGCGACCCTGTAAAGGGTTTCCGAGGAGCAGCTGTTGAGTTTGAACCACCGACCTTGCAGTTCAAATGGCTTTGCAGTCTGGCACAGTAACCCACAGCGCCACACCAGGACTCCTATAGACCTTTCGGTATATCATTAATTAATGTATTTATGGCTTGAATTGAAGGTACTCAAAGGAATGCAAATAAGGATTTAATATAGTACTCTTTTTCCCATAATAAGAGTTTAAAATTTTTTGGAGATGTGTATTAACAGGTAACAAAAAAGACACTAGCAAAAGAAAATATAGCTATAACTATCAAAAAAGGAGTCCTGGTGTGGTGCTGTGGGTTAATGCACTGGGCTGCAAAGTCAGTCTGAACCACAAGGTCAACAGTTCAAGCTCTCCAGCTGCCTTGGAAACCTTGTAACAGGGTCACTGTGGATCAGAATTGACTCGACAGCACGTAACATCATTCTACTGATTTTGTGCTTTACTGTCTTAAAATGTTCTTTTTTGCCTCCCGACTGGATGCCAGTTAACAACTGGCTTCCTAAATATGTTTTACTATGGTCAAGACCAAATCTTATGACTTTTTTCACCCCTAGTGAGTGCCTCATGGGAGTTCTGGTATGGCACTGTAGGATAAAG